TTTGGAAAACATTGAACATTTGGAGTTAACTTTGACGGTTGTTTAATTACCAATAAAAATTCAAAAAAAGATATTCAAAATCAAGTTTTTGTGTTTCAATTTGTTTTGTGCGAATGTCTGCTTCATGATATTAACGCATACGGATTACTTAGAGACTTCAAAATGTTTAGTTCCTATGCACTATTTATCTCTGCGTACGAGACCTCATGGGAAATAACTATTTACCGCCTTTGCCTCTTTTGGCGGGCAGACATGCATACAATTTTGATATTTTTTGATAACTTTTAATTTTTAATATTATTCAGAATATAAATTTTTTGAACGTTGGCGTGTCAAATGAAAGCTTTTGGGTCTTTCTGATTGGCCAGGCCAGAAAGCTTTCTGATACAACTCTGCGCTGAACGGGTTTTCAATCGAGTTAAATGATTTAACTGGTTCAATTTTCCAACAACAATTGCATGCGATTTAACTTGTTTATGAACATGTTTTGTTCATTTAACTGGTTTAAGCCCATTTAACATGTTTAGCTCGTCAATTTGAACGTAGTACAAACCTACTTAATTTTTTATGAATAAGGCCATTAATCTATAAACATGTAGATACATAAATATGGGTGTACCGATGGACATACATACATAAAATGTTGTACATACATAATATGTTATGTTATGTGATATATAGACGCCTAACCGCCAAAAAATTTAAGCGAAATTTTTATATATATATATATATATATAATTTGATGCGGAAAGCATCTTTATTCTACATGCTCCAGGTGTATTTTTGCATTACAAAGAAATCATTTAAAAAAAAAAACAATTATATCATTCGAATCATCTAAAATAAACTGTTTTACTTTTGAAGTCGGGGCGTTATAGCCTCTACGGGATATTATGAATTAGCCATTGGTTGGGGTGATTTATCACCTAATTAGCATTCATCATGCAATTACTAAAGCCCTTAGAATCTGTGGGGGGTCAACCAGCTTTCGAAGTACATACATATGTATGTTCCATTGCATAAGTCCTCTGCATGGGTAAATTGAGTTGTGTTTGTACAATGCGATAGGCAAAGTCACGTTTTGTAAATTTTGGAGAATCTTGCTTTGCTAAAATTTGCCGTATTGTTTTGTTTTTGCAGTTTTTGTATATACATACTTATTTTCATTTAATCGTTCGAGGCCTACCTATACCGCCGGTAAAACCAAAATTTTTTTTTAATTTCATTGGCATCTTTGGCAAAATAGCAACGCCCTATGTAGTTGTAAAAGTTATAAAACTCGCGCGATCAACTGTTTTCTATAAATATGGACGTATATAAAAAATAAATATTGGCGAATGATTATCATTAGCGCACACGATTCCACGTATACTATGAGAATGTATGTATGTACATATGTATATGCAGCTATATGCTAATGCAAACACCCCTTTTGGACATATGTATATCTTTCTAGTACACGACGACGACGGCCGCTGCCGTTGCCGCTACAGTGGCGCCCACTTCTGCATTACGAATCCCCACACAGCCTCCTCTTGGTATCAATAGTATAGCAGAGTAGTCTCTGATATGCGTGCGTAAGTTTGTCATAAATCGTTTTTTTTATTCTTCTTCTACACTGTTTGCTATTTGGCCAATCAAAGTTTTGGCCACACTTACCAATTACTTAATTAACGCTATAAGTTCGTCTTACATGCGATGATGATGGTTGTATATTTTTTTCTGCGGTAACATTGTGCATTATTAAGACACAGTAGAGTTTACACAAACTATTGAAAAATCAATAACATATTTTGAACACTTTTTTTTTTATCAAGCACGTACTTCGTTAACCAATTGTGTATGCCAGCGTAACGTATGTAATAGAAGTTGTTGTTATGTGAACATTATATTTTACAATAAATCAATGCGATAAATACAAACTTTCCAACTATATAGTGTTACTAGTTTTTGTTTGCAAAAAAGTGATAAATATTAAATGGAGCACACCAGGTGATACACAATAATCCTGACGGAACAAAAAGAAAACTGACAAACAATAAAAGGCAAATAGTACACAACAAGGTGTTGAAGATGTTCGTATGTATTTGTCGTTCAAGAATGATAGAATACAAGATTGCGCCGATCAGAGAGGATTTTTGAGAATAACTTTTGTGTGACGTCACACTGGTGCAATTGCGAGAGAGAAATGCCAAAACGTGAGCAAGAATGGAAGAAGAAGAAAAAATGTTGCAAGGAAAACGTAAACAAGTTGCACAAGTGTGACGTCATGCAAACAACGATTCTGTCAAATTCGTTAAGAGAGGAATAGCGGTCCGAGATCGGCGCAACCTTTGTATTCTCTCAATCGTGTTTGTCGTTGAACGAAGAACGTAACATTTAACGTTAAGTCAAAAATTAAAAAGTATTTATTTGGTTTGTTCCTTCATTCAATAATACAAGGTTCGATAAACTGACAGTTGTCTCTCTCGCACCGCTCCCTTAGCAGTGGCACGGTGTTGCTTCTTTGCAAATTTACATTTTGTGCAATATGTTTATTTTTATATGCATATGAAGCATATTTAACTGATGAAAATATAAACTGTTTTTAAATTGGATATTTACATCATTACTCATAGTAGTCTTATTTTAATTTTGAGTTATTTGGCAGTTTTTATACAGCTAAATAGCACATAAATTACGTAATTCACGTAGATATATCAATATTACGCCCAACATTTCGTTTAAAATGCCAGATTTCCTGCAAACACATTAGAATTTACAAAAGGAATTTCACTACTAATTGCCTACTTTGCGTACTTTTCTACTACCATTTTCGCACGAAGAGATTTCATTCTACCCTTTTTCTCCGTCCTTCGTAAATGCAACCTTTTGTAAGGAGTGTCAAACCGCAGCTGTCAATAATTATCTAGCCTTGTATTATTGAATCATGAGGTTTGTTCCACACGAGCCCGATCAGCCCAGAAAGCGTTTCTCATGCTAGAATGAGTAATATAGAGCGAATACGTTCCAATTTTGGGTAGTAAATGTCTTCTTCTTTGTGTACGCAATAGCCCGAACTTTTTTTCCGGGCACAAATGTCCAAAGGTCAATTTGAAATAACAGCTGTTGTTGTTTAAATCGGAAAGCAAACTTTATTTCATTTCATTTCATTAAATTTATAAAACACAAAAGTGGAAAATACAACAGAATTTTAAGAAAATGTGGTTATTTGGTAATTTTATTAGCGATATAAGATACATATACGTAAAATCATAGTTTAGAGCGGATATTTTAATTCCGAACACGAAATGCGATTTTTTGCGTTGCTCACGCTCTGGGCACTTTTGCCACGTGTTGATACATTTTTGACACTTGTGAGAGAGTAACTTATTTTTACGCTCTAATTAGGGGAGCAGTCCGAAAAGCGTGTGGAACAAAGCTATTATGTGTGGCTAAGGTCGGTGTTATGCAGACAAACTTTTGTTTGCCAAATTAAATGGCGGCTGCTTAGTTTGCTCGGAGGTGGTTATGTCGAGTTTGGCACAGGGTTGCACGTTCATTATGGTTTTCTTGGCTATTGCCAACACGAAATGAGAATTTCAGATGTACATAACGCGCAAAATTTAAAATTTTTGTATATGACAACACCGAATTTGCTGCAGTTTGACCAAACAAAATTAGTTTGCTGTGAGAGTCGCCAAACTCGCTCTCTCCGAGTTTGCTGCAACAACAATTGCACGCAGTTTGCCAAACAAAATTTCTGCATAACACCGACCTAACGAACCAACGTTAAAAATGAGCGAGCGGTAAAGGACAATCGAAGAAATATCGATTGCAATACAAAATTCTTAATAGTGGGATTCAGGAAACGTGATAAAATGGCTGCAAATGTCGCATTTGTTCTTTTTTTCAATTCATATTGCCATCCGAACTTGCTATAGGTCGTTCATACAACTTTGTTTGCAACGTTGCCAATTCGCCAAAAATGCCATTTTGCGACGCTTTATGACGTTTCATAACGCTAATGGAAAATCATTTGGGGTGTTCACAGTTCGTTCCAAATTGTGTCTGAAAATGTAGACGTCTACATTTTGAGACATCTTTAGCATCAAACTGTGAGCACCCCTTTCTAGCAGTCGTCGCAAAATCGTCTCAAAACTTTGCTGGTGTTGCCAGACATTTCTTCTTTGCGTGCTTTTTTATATGTCGCCTTTCGATTTTGTTTCTGAAAAATTGTAATTATTTATCTTAATTACCAATTCCTAATATTTGTTATTTCTTTTCCTTGATTTGTTTCTTTTCATCAGAAATTGCGCTCAAATTAAATGCAAATACAGAAAACGTGCCCAATACATAAAAAAAATGCGATTAGTATTGCCATAATGCAACCCTGCTGCGAGGTTGCAAAATGTAGACGCTTAAAAAACATACCTTTGAGTGTGACAAAATGTAGACGGCGTCGTTTTCCAATTTTGTATGGGAAACAACAACACCACAGATTTTACGGTTAGAAAACGTCCTAAAATGTAGACGTCTACATTTTGAGACACTATTTGGAACGAACTGTGAACACCCCAATTACATTATGAATTTATTGACGTTTTTTGCTCGATTTTAGAGATAAAAAAACGACGAACACACTATGTATATATACATATTTTTTTTTTTTTAATAAAAAATTTTTATTAATAAATAAAAAATAATGAGGTGCTAGATGCAGGAATTGTGAATTGTAAAAAATTAATTGTAAATATTTGGCTCAGGAACAAACGGTTTACGGTCAAACGTTAAAAATGGACGAACAGTATAGAACAACCGACGAACTATCGATTCCGATACAAAAATCTTAATATTTCTACTAATGAGGTGCTTGGGTGACTTTTGCTATGGTGCTTTGTTTGGGTGCTATCATTTGTTCCAAGTGATGTAAATGTTCGGAAAACTAAAGGCTGAGGAACATCCTGGTAACTCTTTTAAAATTAAATTTAATTTTTGCCATTGTCTTCCTATAGTTGTTTCACCATTTCGCTGTTCCGCCAACTGACGAATTTATCATTCATATATTAAATGAAAAGGATTAAGTGTGCGTATTTGTGTTCATTTTGCTTTGTAAACGTTTTGCTATTTTCTTTCTTTGGGAATTTAACTTTTAGCATTTTGGGTACGCAATATTACTAAGATATTATGCCACCCCCAAGACCGAGGGGAGTGGGATATAATACAGGAGTCACAACATCTAGGCCCAGCCCGAATACACCGATGTCTGAGAGACAGCAAATGGCACTGCTTATTCAGATGACGGCGAACTCGACGACAGGTAAGCTATAGATTCAAAAGCTAAAGATAATTAGGTTCTATAAGATCAATTATGCATTTTTTTTAATATGGTGACCAATGTACATTATATGAATAAGTTAATTTTCACATACATACATATGTATGCAAAAACATTTTCAGAGGCCTCAAGAGCGCAC